GACAATGCTCATGTTTCTTTAATGACTGGAAACACAGTTTTACCTGTGTTTTACCTCTAGAGTCCAAATACTCTAAATAGACGAAAAGTAAAAGGGATTTAGAAAAGATAGATGGAAATTTCAAAATAGCCTGGAATGAGATTGCTACATGTTGGGACAGATGTCTGCAGTTCTGATCACTTCACCAGTGGATTTTCTCAGGTTTTGTTGAAGTTGACAGCAAGGCATAGTGCCATTTCTAAATTTAGAAACCATGTTCATCATGATGGAAAAAATCTGTACTACAAGACTATCCATTAAGTAACAATGCTTCATATGCCAAATGGAATAGCTATCATTTCAATCAGAAAATGTTAAACAGGAGCCCAGACATGGCTTGGCACATAAAAGAGATTACTACTCTATCTGAGGACAGAAATTACATTCCAGGACCTAGACATCAGACAACTCAAAATACCTGTACTCCAGCTCCAAGAGATTTAACGCCCCCTTCTGGCCTCTATGGGCATCAGCACATACACTTAAATAAAGATAAATCATTTTAAATGTAATAGAGATCACCTAAGCTTAGAACACATGCGAACGCACATGAAACCTGGATGATGAAACAAAATGAGAATTTTTTTTCATAAGGTAGACTCTAATGTCATAGAAGAGTCTCCAAACTTTTGACATTGTGACACAATCTGCTGGCTAGTTGTTTGCCAACTTAACACAAGTTAGAGTCACCTGGGAAGTTGGAACTTAGATTAAGAAAATGCCCGAGGGCAAATGAGTGGAGAATTCTCTTGATTACTGATTGATGTGGGAGGGCCCAGGCTACCCAGGCAGATAGTTCATATATATATATATATATATATATATATATATGGAGAGAGAGAGAGAGAGAGAGAGAGAGAGAGAGAGGGAGAACAAGCAACTGATCAGTACTGATCAGTGTTTCTCCATTGCCTGTGCTTCAGTTCTTTCCTCCAAGTTCCTGCTTTGAGTTCTTGCCCTGACATCCCTTCATGTTGGATTATAAGATGAAATAAACCCTTTCCTCTTCAAGTTGCTTTTGGTCATGGGCTTTTTCATAGCAATCGAACTATCTAGATGTATACCTACCAGTGGAATGGCTGAATCATTGGCAGTTCAATTCTTAATTTTTTGAAAAGCAGATTCTACACTATTTTGCTTAATAGATGTACCAATTTATACACCTCAGTGTTCTTTGTTCTCTTTATCTTTGCCAACACTTAATACTGATTGTAACAAGGGCAAGGAGATTTCTTATGGTTGTTTGGGTTTGTAGTCTCTGAACATAATTGCCCATTTGTTCACAGACATCCTATCCATTTTTCCATCTTCTTTTTGAGAAGTGTCTGTAGTGTCTGTGCAGATCCTGTTATTAAGGGAACTTGATTTCTTCCTGACACATAAAATTTTTGTATGGTTTGCAAATACTTTCTGCCATTCTAGTAGCTTTACAGTTTTGAATCTTATGCTTCAGTCATATATATATATATATATATATATATATATATATATATATATATATATATATATATGATCCTGGCACTTATGGCTTCAGTCTTCTTCTATTTTGAGATGATCTTTGTCAGTGTTCTGGAGAAGAGTCCAATTTCATTTTTCCAATTATGGTGTTCCAAACACTATTGAAGAGACCATCTTTTCTTTATTGAGTGTCTTGGAAATTTTGTTAAAACTATATTGACATTAGATACATGGATTTACTTCTGGTCTCACCAGTTTTTCAATTTTCATGTCAGTGCTGTGTTATTCCTGTCACTATAGATTTACAGTGTATTTTAAGAACATGTGGTATGATAATTCCACTCTTTCCTAGTTGGTTGCTTTGACTATTTAGAAACTGTTCTGCTGCCATACAAGTGTCAAGAGTGACTTTTCTGTTGCTCGGAATCATGTTATTGGAATTATTACATACATTTCACTGAATCTATAAATCATTTTAGTACCATGGGCATTTTAAAAATACTGAATCTCCCAGCTTATGAATACATGCTATTTCTTTTCACTTCCTATAATAGCCTTCAAATAATTTCGTAGTTGTCTTAAAGTTTCATCTCTGTGGTTAAATTAATCTCAAGTCTTTTCATTGATGATGTTGTAAGACTGTGCTCTTATATTACAAATATTCATATGCTTGTTCTGTATCCTGAAAACTTACTGTCTCCTGTTAATAATGTTCCCTATATTGAACCAGCCAAAATATTTCCCTGGCCACATTTATATAACACACACTAATTTCAGCTATGGGGGAAGTTGGAAATGTAACTATGTCCCAAGTTTATACTGAAAAATCAATATTACATTAGTGAAGAAGCAAAATAAGGTAGAATCGAGATGAGACACATAAAGCAATATCAGTCACAGATCCTTACAGAGTAAGTTAAACGATGTTCTCTAATGAATATTGACACCATACTTTGTAATCTTCTCCGTTTCCCTTGTGATATAGAACTTCATGGTTATCTTCATATCTTCTAATACCATGTCTACAAAGGAGATATTATTACACATGAGTGCTAATTTTTCTCAATACCCAAAGAAGTAAACTGCCTCAACACAGCACAGCATACCACTGACTGGAAAAAAGGATGAATGAACTGAAAGAAGACAGCTACACTATAGCTCTTGGCCAGAAATGTCCATACCACTTTTATGTGTGCCCTTAGCTCAGAATAGCTGTTCTATTTTGAATGGGGTTTAAAAATCAAGAATACAAAAGAGAAATTATATGTATCCTATCAACCTAAAAGTCTTTCGCTCCTTTTGTAGAAACTATTTGGTGACTCCTGACAGGGATTTAAAAATTGTGATATTTCTCTCTTTTGTAAAAGAGTTTATTTTTCTATTTATTTATTTATTTATTTATTTATTTATGGGGGGGGTCGAGACAGGCTTTCTCTGTGTAGCTTTGGAGCCTGTCCTAGCACTTGCTCTATGCTGTTCAGGCTGACCTTGAACTCACAGAGATCTGCCTACGTCTGCCTCCTGAGTGCCAGGAATAAGGCATGCATCATCACTGTCTGGCTGCCCCCCCTTTTTTTTTTTTTTTTTAGTTTAGTTTAGTTAAGTTTAGTTTTAATTATGTGCATGTGTATATACCTATGAATGGGTACGTGTTGGTAAGTGCAAGTTACAGGTTGTTATGAAACACCAGATGTGGGTGCCAGGAACTGAACCATGATCCTCTGCAAAAGTAGAACACACTGAGCCACCTCTTTAGACTCCCCCACCCTCCCCATCTCTCTCCTTGTCTTATCTGTTGCTTAAAGGTCTAATTGTGCTATCTCAGATTGCTGACTGGAACCACCACTGTGCCTGTGGGAATGCCTGCAGTCTTCCCTACCTCCCATATGGAACCCTAGTGTGCAATAGGAGCTAGTTCCAGACTTGCTAGAGCTCTCTTCAAACTTAAGTACTAAATTTCCAAGTTAAACTAAATTATAATTTTAATGAGTAGTTTGCATAGTAATGCTCCCCTGTCATTAGCATTTAAGAAAAGCTTGGGCATGAGTACCCAAGCAAACACATGCATCTGAGGCCCAGCAAATTGTCTCTTCTGTTTTATGGCTAGGTAAATCCAGTGTGTTTGAATTAAACAGAGAAAGCAAACTTTCCTGTCTTGACTCAAGTCTATAGTCAGAATAAATCACCAAAGCTATTTGATTTGTGAAATAACATGCAACACAATCACCTACACGTTAATTACTTAAATACCATGAAAGGACTGTAACTTTAATATGGTTTCAAAAACAAATGTCACCAAGTGTCTTTGTTTTCCGTGGGGAGTCACTAGTGCTCCTGGTGCCTGACACACTGAAGAGGATGTATGAGCAGATTCTGTGCTGTGTGTTGGTTTTGCTCCTTTCATCACATTTTGCTGTCCTGTCACCTTCTGTTAGGATAAAGGTGTCAATGCTCCTATGAAAACACTTAAAGCGTTTTTCATGTAAATTTTATGTTATATTTTTACTGAATTCTACTCTTTGTACACATGTTGAGAATCTCAGAAAAAAAAATATTTGCAGAAAGCTTAGTCTATAACACTATCATTCTACAGGTCGGGTATAAGCTCACTAATTAAATAAGGATTGATACTGAGTTGCCAAGTGCAAGTAGCGGTGGCTCCTTTCTTTTGCTAGATTTCTTTTCCTGTAATTATTGAATTGCTACAAATTTGGTGGATTTTGTAATGAAAGGAAGTCATACATTCCCAGTCAAAATGTAGATATGTAAAACTACCCTGTAAACACTCAAGATAAAGTAAGACATTCCAAATAGGCAAAGGAAGAAAATGTCAGTAAACAAACCCGGTAAGCTTTTTGAAGGACTTCAGTGTTTTGATGTTTCAGTAAGAAAATGTACTGCACAAGTAAAAAAAACAAAAACAAATAATAGATTAGAAATAGCACCATATTCCGACTCACACTACTCTTTAAGCAAATTAATTGCATTCTTAGTCCCTTGGTGGTCATTGGGAATCATGGAAGCATGTTTTGTTTCCAAAGCCAAGTGTAGCTGTCATCAGTTAAAACAGCAGAGATGTGAGCTGGGACTAAGGTTCACCAGTAGAGTACCTGTTTGGCCTGTGGGAAACCCTGGGCTTAACCTTCAGCCCCACAAAATCAAACCAGGGAGGCAAACATTACATTTTCCATTTGTGGAGCATTTTTTCCGCAGCCTTTCTACAAACTTGGTTATACAAATGGTTTTGTCATTGGTTCTCACTTTATCATCTAAAATTTCTGTTAAAGAACAAGAAATTCTTTTCACTGGATTCTGATGTAGCATTTTTACCCTAAAACTAGTCACTCTGTTTCTGTTTACACCATGTGAAATACTCTGATCAGAACAAAGTTCCCAGCATTGTTCAAACCACAGGCTTACACTGCTAAACAGATAGCAAAGGCCAGAGTCCACTTGCATTATTGCACCGGTCAGACTCAGGTACAATCTGCCTTTCTAATACTGTCAACATTGACTTGTCATCGCAGGTAGCTGGTAGGATTTATCTTCAAACATCAGAAACATGCACTGTGCTATGCTAAAGGCAGAAGCAGTGGATGGCGCTCATCTGATGCAGATCTTTTGGCACGATGGGACAGAGTCGCTCTACCCGGCGGTATGGCTGAGAGACAACTGTCAGTGTTCTGAATGCTACCTGCATTCTGCAAAAGCCCGGAAACTTCTCCTAGAAGCTCTCGATGTGAACATTCGAATCAAAGACTTGTCATTTGACAGGAAGAAGGTAATTATCTCTAGCAATCTACCCCTTCTGTTTTGAGTTAAATCAAAGCCTAGGTTATAATAATGAAATCAATTTTCTTTAACTTATTTTACATAGAACAAACCATCTCCGTGGACATGTTTGTACAGCGTTTGGTAGAACAGGCATACTCAGTGGAAGACTGCTGTTGCTATCACGGCTTCGGTGTTTTCCTTTCCCTTCTGAATATGCATAGTGTTTATTTTAACTGAAATGCAATTATATCACCTGTGTCCTCCCTTTTCCTTCCTCCAACCCCTCCCATAGCCCCTCCTTCTCTCAAACTGGTGGCCTCTTTTTCCTTAGTATTGTTACATATACATATGTACATATAAATATATAAATACAGCCTTTTGGTATGTTCTGGTTTCTCTTCAAGTGTCTTTACAAATCTTTTCTGTACAATGTTTTGCCTTTTGCTACTACCATTTAATAAAATATGTAAATTTGCCTTTTTTGCTTTTAGTGGCTAGCAGCCTTGAAACACAATCATGCAGTTTATATCATAAAAAGCAGTGCTGGTCCTTAGTTTGCTCCTCCATCAAGCTAGAAAAGTACAGAAGCTGCTCACACAAATGTCAGAATTCAGTGAGATAATCTGGGAGGAAATGTTTCTCACAGTGCTTGGCATAGAACACTCGCTCAGAAATTACACTAATTAGTGCTATTTATTCAAATTATCATGTAGGTCTAGAAGAAGTTGTGTCCTAAGAGCACCACTCTCAAAATCACAGATGTGTCAATTAATCATCTTTCTTCCTTACTTCCAAATTCTCTCCAGAAGAATAAATGTGATCAGAAATCCTGTCCTTTCCCAGTTATTCTGTCCTCTCAGCTTGAGTTCTCTATACCCACTTCTCAATCTTGGTAGACATTCCCTCTCATAGGAAGTTTGAGGATCACATACTTGAAGTATGTAAAGCATAAATGTTGGGTTAGTAAATTCTGTTTTTTACATATCTTCTCATCAGCCTTAGGCACCAGAAGTAGACCTTTGGCTTGTGGGGGAAATGGAAAGTAATGCTTAACTGATTTCTCTAGTCATTTTAAATAACATTCAAAAGAAAAGCAACTTCAGAAAGCAGAAGTGTATAACTGTGCAATGTACAAATAGATGATAATTGTTTTCTGTGTTATAAGGTTTATATCACATGGCCCAATGAGCATTACAGTGAATTCGAAGCTAATTGGCTGAAGAAAAGATGCTTTTCCCAACAGGCCAGAATAAGACTCCAAGGAGAATTGTTTTTACCAGGTAACATTGCCATTGTTTTCTGTCTATACTAAAATCTTATAGAATTATTTGAAGAGAAATGATATTATTTGAATTGGATGTATCTACAGGGCACTATTTAATGATCTTATCACACATGCATATATTACAAAATGGTCAAACCAATGTAGTCAGGCTTCATATCCCTTTCTCACTTTCTAATGATTTGCACAGGAGAAAATTCAAACCCTTTTCTTGGTTAAAATAATGCTGCAATTTATAAGGAGTGCTTAACATACTAGTAACACAGATAATTTGGGCAAAACTGAAAAGAAGATCAAAGCAGATGTCAACATACTAAAGCACTAGCAAGAAAAAGGACAGTGGGCTTGAGTCTGTCTCCTCTAAAGTTAAGGCTGGAGTCCAAGAACTTCCCTCCATGCTCTCTACAAAGAAGCAGAATAAACCAGAAACAGTTCATCCTTCTTAACAACATCTGAAGTCAGAACAGCCCAAACTCAACAAAGCACAAATTCCTACCCTGGTGTCCATCAAGAGATTGTTTGAGTGAAGCTATGAAACAATGAGTGTGGATGTAAGCCTGTTTCTCTAGAGAACATTTATATGGGTCCCCAGAGGATTCATGAGTGGAAAAATGTTTAGAGATAGCAAAAGATGGAGTCAGTGGCAAAGGGGGACCTTATCTGTCAGATAAAAGGTAAAATAAATGCTAAAGACAAATAGGTAATTTAAAATGAAACTTCTAAGAAATGTATAACACAGGCCACGCAGAAACATTGGTAAGGGTGGGAAAGTCAGAGATTTCTATTTTTCTACAGATTATTATATATGATTGTGCAGGTCAAAGGCAAAATCTAACATACATGAGTTTTGCCTGTCTGTTGGAACCCTGATTTCCACAAGCACACTAGCCTGGTACATTTACCTGAATCATCTTTCCACTGTCAACATTTATCAGACCACCACCCTTTTCAGGAAGTGACCACCTGGGTGAATTCTATGCCACCTCTTTGAGGAACACGCTTTAGTCCTTTAGTAAAAGTGGTTCTTCCTTACTCCTTCCAAACCTCACGAGTGATAACTGTCTAGGGTTTTCAAACTAGTCTTACAATCGTTCACTGGAAGTGGAGATGTTACTTATTAATCAATCAACTTGCCAGGCAGCTTTCCATTTTCTTGTGGATATCAATAACAAAGTACCATAGTTTCTCCTTCTCTTTAAGGACAGACTAGTCTTGTCAAGAATTAAATTCCTCTAAGTGCCTGGTTTTAGCACAGTGACAGCTGACAAGGATATGTTCCTCTGCTGTATCTAAACCAAGAATCCATTCCCCTTTATCTAGCTCTGCTAGGTGGCTAAAGATAGATAAGTTATGCAGGAAAATTATTCTTCCTACTTTCCTTCAAAGAACTTATTTCTGGATTCTTTGAGTGGTCTCCAATAATGTAATTCCATAGCCATTGTCTGGGTCAAATGGCAATATGTCAAATATGTTTTCTGATATTTCTTTTTCTTTAACTCTGCCCTAGTTTTATAATCCATTTGGATTTGGCTTTCATTGCCTTCAAATTCTTCTCTGTGTCATTTCAGGAAATAAAAGTCAACTTTTTTTATTATCACAGCTTAAGCTTTTAAATGCTGGAAGACGAATGGCCACACCTCTGCCATTAATATATCCTGACAAGTGAAGTTTTTATAGCTTACATTACTCAGTACTATCAGGCAGTAGCAAAGTGGAAATAATAGTACCTTCCATTAAGTAGTGGAAAAAGATGGTCATGATGACAGCTTGTGAGCATGAATAACCTAAGAAACCTGGCTGCTAGGTAGACACTGGGAAATATTTTAGTGCTTTAAAATTCATTTTTAAAATATATTCACAAGCTGTCCAGTTGATGGGTAAAGACGTAATTGATGGGACATTTTTAGAATGCTGTTTGCATGTGTTTTTTTCCTGCTCTACTGTGTGTTTTCAAACATTACTACTCCAAAGCATGTAAACAAATTGAGTTCCATTGATGAAAGCACTTTGCTGTTTAGCCCCAATGTTTTAGTCCTAATAGCAATGTCCCTCCTCTGCTTCTTCCTTTGGAATGAGGACCATGGTGCTTAGAAAATCTGGCATCCAGATGCATACCACTTTTCTTCTCTTATCACAGGTTGCCAAACACAAAGTGAAAGGTTAAATGACAGTCCAAGCTGAAAGGAAGATGTGGAGAATAATCTTTCCCCCATGGATGTGCATTCAGCTGCACAGACATGTGTCATCTATTTTGTACAGGGAATACCAAGGTATAAGGAAATACCAAAGTGAAAAAGGAAGCCTGGACAAGTAATACGCTGAGTTCATTCAGACTGTGTGCTGAAGTTAATGATGACATGAAGCAAAGAATATGTAGAAATGATACTCACACCGAGTTTTTGAGGAATAGTTTATCAGGCAGAGAAAGAAAGAAGAAAATCCTCACAGAGAAAGGGGCATGCAGAAAACCACAAAGTAAGAAACAGAAGTATGAATTCAGGAAAGTACAGTGTGCTAGTTGTTGATAAAGTTAAAATTGCTAAGCAATAGAGGAGACGTCAAAGGCCAAAGTAAGAATTAGTTTGCATACACTACTTGGTCCATGGACTGAAGGCAAGGATGAGGTGTTTCCAACACAGAGTTCAAGTACACCTACCATTCCACTCATCTCTCAGCTGATTCTCTGTTGACAAACTATACAAATGAGTTCCAGACCTTTACGGGTTTCAGATGATTGCTGCAAGGTTTTCCTCTGTACTGTACACATTTGGGTTTGTCTACCTCCTTTTGATTATATTAATATATTATCATAAGTGCCTCCAAGTCCATGAACACCTCCTACGCTTTGATTTTTCTTTTATTATAACCTGTCCTCTGACCTCCACATGGCACACACATGACAAACATACCATGTACACACAAAATAATAATAAATTTAAATTTAATTTAATAAAATATGAAGCTGTTACATAATCATATTTTAACTTCCACATAAAATTTGACATACTTACTTATTCTATCTTATTTTGTGAGCTTTAAATTTTTCAAGACTTAACTGACAGAGATAAAATGAAAACAGAAATGCTACATAGTATCAGCATATTACTGGTTTCTGTCTCAGGGTTTATATTGAAGAAACACCATGATCACAGCAACTCTTATAAAGGGAAACATTTAATTGAACTGGTGGCTTACAGTTCAGAGATTTAGTTCATAATCATCATGGTGGGGATCAGAGCAGCATTCAGGCAGATATGGTGCTGAAGAAGGAGCTGCTACATGTTAATATGCAAGCAAAAGGAAGTGAACTGTCTTCACCAGGCATGGTTTGAGCATATATGAGACCTCAAAGCCCACCTCCACGGTGACACACTTCCTCCAACAAGACCATACCTACTCCAACAATGCCACAACTCCTAATAGTGCCACTCCCTTTGAGAACTATTTTCTTCCAAACCACTACAGTTTCAAAGTGAATGAATCCTTGTTTTTCCTACCTCTTTGTTGCTAAAGTATTTCACATTGCTCTATGAATTTAATGATACTTGTTATTGAAAACAAGTTTTTAAGAAGAGAGAACTTAAAGAAAATCTCTCCATTGACCCAGCTATTTCATTTTTTCTGCAATGAAAATTAAGAACATTGCACACCAAAAATCATTTAGTCTCAACTACAACTACACATGCCCCTTTTATAGCAGATCCTTTACTTTGCCATGTACTTCATCAGATTTTAACTCCTCAGTCCATAGCTAGGACCTCCTCTTTGTTTGAAAAGCAAAAGTCCCAAGAAGTGAAAAGTCACAGGTAAAAGAGCCCTCTCAAATGGGCTTACCTTTCACATAACAAGAGAACTGCACAGAGATAGTTTTCTTAAGGAGAATTGTGTGTTTACTTCATTTTCTTATAGTGCCAGAAATATATTGGTTTGTTGCAGAGAATATTTTTGCAAAACTATGTCCACAAGTAAGAATCATACATGTATGATTTTCTTTTTAGTCACCAGAAAATGCTCATAGCACAGTTGTCTAACTCATATGATATAAGCCAAATCCATTTTTTAACCAGATGTGGGAGTGTGTGATGAAATATGGATACTTGTACCATCTATGACTATTTTTATCTGCCTACTAAGCTTACTGTATTTGCTCTGTCATCAAAATAAGCTGTTATCAACATATCTTACCAGCTCTACTATCAACTCTATGTAGAATCTACTGATACTATATGACCTTTTTTCTGTACCTCTTCTCTCACTCCCAGGCCACTCCTTCATATTCACTTGTTTAATCATTTACTGTACAAATCAGTGAGATTAAGTGTTGGCCTATTTAACTCCAGCAATAAATGAGGCTAATAAAAAAATTAAAACTAGTTCAAAGAGTAACAAGGTCAAGAATTGAGTAAAGAGCATCTGCACTAATGAACACCTTTCCTATTTCTGTACTTGCAGTGACCTGTGTGACCTATGTGACACTACACATGTTACATTAAATGGTCATTATCTACTCCACTAGATAATTAAGTCTAGAGAAATAGCCATTTCAGTCACTAATTTGGCTGACTAAATATCTGCCACACATTATGTATTTATTCATTCATCATCCTAATGGATGATTTTTGAATAACAGAATCCATACAATGGGGTTGAATATACAATAGGTAAAAAAAAAAAATGGGAAAAGGCTTTACCCCTTCGGCATTTATATTTTTGTGGGGAAAGAGACCAAAAAAAAATGTACAGACTTATCTGTAGTTCCTTAAAGAGTGATAAGCACACAAACATAAACAAGTTGGTGAGTGTGGTGGTGAAAGTAGATGAGATTTCCTTCCTGAATTCTTGTATTTTTTTTTAACTAAAATGAGGAAAATCATCTAAGATGAAAATAGAGTAGGAAGTCTGGAAACAAGACTAGAGAATGTGAGAAATATCTAGAAGAGTCTGTGTATTTTTTTAACTATAGACTCCTGGCTATCGATTGAAAGCCATCACTCTGGT